TTTTATTCGAAATAATAATTATTATTATCATCGTTAATAAACTTTACGCGTTCGGTCGTGCGTGTTCGTGCGTGGGTGCGTGCGCGTGTTCATAATAATTTTAATTTTAATTTGTTAATAAATGCGAGATTATTTTGTTATGATGATGATTCGTAAATGTGCAATTCAATGACGACGTAGCTTTACTTTTATTATAATAATAATAATAATAATAATACTTTTATTATTTGTTACGTAATTATATTAATAATAATAATAATAATATTTATATAATAATTTATTTATTTTATTTATAAACCGACGATGTATGCACCGATTTGATTTAATTTTTCCGTTGCACCCGTTGATAATTGTTTAAATGCTTGTCTGGGTACCTACACAAAAAAAAATTTTCGTCTTATTACACGTCATCGAATTATTTGTCTAATGACACGTTTACGACGTGAAACTTACGGTTAGCACGGCATTTATTGCACGAGAAACGGATTCGGAACTTCTAACGACGAATTCTCCGAGTACGTCAGCTTTATTTCCAGGACTTACTGAATTTAATTCGGTTTTCGTGGCCGTATCTACGATCGGTCTGGGCTAAAATCAAAAAAAAAAAATTCGTTCAAACGTATTTTTCAACGAAAAAACTAATAATAATGATAATAATTTGTGTAATACGTGAAAAATATTAATTAATTTATCTTCAACTCCGAGATCAGGTACGAAATCTCTCAAAGTTTTTTCTTCTTTTGATCTTTCACTATCTGGACTAACGATTTTTTCATTCGTATTATCTTGCTTAAATTTTCCAAACGACGAAACCAAAAAAAAAAAAAAAAATTAAATTAAATATTCCAAAGGAAGGATAATTTACGTTGACGTGGCACGAATACTTTACCGGTAACGATGGTACTTCTCCACCAAATGAATTAACTTGTTGATAATTTCTTACTTCCGGTTCGTATCCACCACCACCCACACCAACACCAACGTTTGGTAATTTATACGAATTTAAATCTATACTCGTTACTTCTTGTCCGTTAACTTTAACCGTCATCATCGTCAATGTAAACAAACATAAATTTAAAATCTTCATGGTTGGAAAATTCTAGAAAAAAATTAAACGTAATAATAATAATAATAAGACAGTATTGTTAAATGTATCATCATCATCATCATTAAAACAAAAAAAACTTACTAATCGTTACTCTCTGGAATTTTTTTTAAGGTTTAACCTGGAAAAAAAAGAAGAAAAATGTCGTTAGTATGACGTCATAAACGCGTGAAAGTTTTAAAAAATTCGTTTTTTTTTCCTCTATTTCGTACTAAAATTAATGGTTAGTTGATTAAGCATGAACCTCAAAAAATTTAGGTATGACGTATAGAAACAATAATAATAATAATAATTAAATTAAATGAATAACGTTTTGTATTGTTGTGAAATCGTTAAATTCGAGTGGGCGAAACTATGTCTGACATTTTGTTTTTTTTTGTCTCGTTCGTAAAATTTCATTATTATTATTATTATTATTATCGTCCAAAACATTACGGTACGTTTATCATTATTATTATTATTAATAGCTTTCACTTCGTTTCTATTACCTAATAAGCAAAAAAAAAAAAAATTAATTTATCGATAACTGATTCGATCGATTGGTATTATTATTATTATTAACATTATTATTATTATTATTATTATTATTATTATTTCGTCTTTTACTTACAAACTTTTTAAATAAATTGCGTGGAAAAGGAAATTACAAAAGCGTAAAAAATACGTACGATTTTTTTCCCCCGATTAAGCAATCGAAAAATGTCAAAAATCAAAATGGCGACGTTTGAATAACTGATTATTTCGTGTACGAATTTAACGGTCAAATTTTTTTTTCAATTTAATTTCGTATCCTTTAATAACCACCAGGAAAAGAAAAAAATAAAATAAAATAAAATAATGATAAACTTACTTACCACGTAAGAGTAATAATAATAATACTTACTGTACGTCGAATGAAAAAAGATTCAATAAAATGTCGTTTTATTACTACTACTACTCGTTGTATGGCAGCCTAAATTTGTTAATACAAACTTTCACTTTTTTTAACTATTTATTTTTTTTATTTGAATTCCACGGTCGCGTTCTTTCTATAATTTTCTAACTTAACATTTTTTCTTTTTAATAAATAAATAAATAATTTCCGGTTGGTTTAAAAAAAATAAATTAAAAATAAAAATGAAAATACATTCGATTACATGAATACGAACGAACGAACGAACGATCGTTTGAAAACCATAGAGTATATAAAACAAACATAAATAATTCAAATATTATCATTTTCCCGAACACGACAAGTGTTTGTATGACGTCATAATGGCGGCCGAAAATTGTTTACACGGTTAATTTGATACCTTTTTTAACGTGATGTTTTTTTTTTTTTTCTCGGGGGATTATCGCTGAGATTTTTCGAAAAAAATGTGATTAATTTTAAAATAAACGAAAGGGAATTTATAATTTTGTGTTTTTACAAACGTCCTCGTTCGAAAAATTAAAAAAAAACGATAATATTTAAATCGTATAATAAATTCGTTATGATAATTTCATTAATGGTTTAATGAGAAAATTTTTTTTTTTTTTTTTAAATCAAGATATTTTATAATATTCGGACGTTGACCTCATAACCGGAGTAAAAATAGGTTAAAAAACATAAAAACCTGTTTTAGTAGTTAAGGATACAAAAGTAGATTGTAAGTAACATAATTACATTACACACCTGATTACCTTCATAACATAAATTAATAAATTTTTTATTAAAAAAAAATTTCAAATATTGTTCTGGTCAATGAAATTAAACATTTTTCTCTCTCTCTCTATAATCTATTAATAAATAATTTAACTACTTATTTAAATTTAATATTTAAAATAATACATAAATAATTTTACTTTTACATTTGACTGATTCACAATTTTATAAAACATTCAAGTGAAATATTTTTAACTTAAAATCATTCATCAGAAATAAAAACTAAACACAATCAGAATTATTATTATTATTATTAGTTACAAATAATAATAATAATAATTTTCAAATAAAATGATTTTTCAACAAAAGGAAAAGGAAAACAAAATAATAATTAATAATATTAAATATTTATTACATAATAGTTTATTAATCTTATAAAAAAAAAAAAAAAACCATAGAATAATTAAACATGTATGAACAATTCACAATTGAATTAAAATTTCATTATACAATAAAATAAAATAATAATAATTCATACTAATTGTAAAAAAATTAAATAATAATAATAATTACTATTACTATTGAAAACTGATAAAAAAAAATATAAAAAGTAATGGTGATGAAGATGATGATGTAAAATTTAAATTTTTTATTATAACAACAACAACAAAAAGAAAAATTTATTATTATTATTATTATTATTATTATCTTTATGCCAAACAATTTGAAAGTAATAAAATATAAACATGAAAATGTTTTGTTATATGCTAGCAATAATATAATAAAATTTTCACTTTCTATTTATATGTAGGTACAAAATAAGTTTTTATCTCTCTCTCTCTCTCTCTCTCTCTCATTTCGTTGTTGTTGTTTGAGATAGAAAAAAAAAATTTATTTTTTTGCAACGTTTGTAAAAAAAAAAAAAAAATTTTTTAAAAGAAGATAAACTGGTTGTAAGAGATAAGAAGAAACCATTGCTTAAGTATTATGATTTTGAAATTTTTTTTTGTTAACAAATATGTTAAGAATATATAAAAAAATGTTTGTTGTTAGAAGATTGTTTGTTAAACAACAAACAATTTTCTTTAATGTTGAAAATAATGATCCAATAATTAATTTTTTTTTTTAAATTTTAAGATGATATCTTTTCATACAATGAGTTACTACTCTACTTGTCAAAAAAAAAAAAAAATGTCTTATCATTTTACTTTTTCCCCAATCGTTCACTCCATTTTTTCATAACTTTTTAAACACTTTTATTAAATAATAATTTTTCATTTTGGATAACTTATGTTTAAATTTCTAACTTCTTCTCTTAATTTAGCAAATGGTTGCCTTGCAACAACACCGCTGAAAAATTTAAATAATGTTGACGGTAACTGAAAAAGACAAAAAAAAACAAAATTTTGGTGATTCTTTTTGGCGTATTGAAAAAAGAAAGTGTCAGAAGAATACAAAAGGCACCAAATGGAGAAAAATTATAAAGAAAAATTAAAAATTTCTTATTTTTTTCCGAGAAAATTTAAAAATTTAATGTTTGCAGGATGTTTGTAGGAAAATACATTGAAATGACACTTGCATAATTTCTTTTTTTTCCTTCCTTTTTTTTTCCCCCTTTCTCTCCCTCTGGAAATATTTTTTTTTTTTTTTACTCCTAGTTACGTTTAAAATGTTTGAAATTATGTAATATCATAAGGAAATAATAATAATAATAATAATAATAATTTTGCTACCACAACAACTTTTTTTTTTTTCTTATATAGTAAAAATTCTGGAAATATTTTATAATTTAATTCTTCTTTGTAGTTTTTTTTTATAAAGACAACAACAACAAAAACTTCCTTATTGGTTTTAAATTATTATCATTATTATTATTATTATTATTATTATTATTATTATTATTATTATTATCGTAAAACGAATATATCGTATGATAACATTTAAATTGATAATGTTAATCATGTTGTGTGTGTGTGGATGAGGCATTGTGTGAAAAAAAAAGAAGAAATACTTCCTGGATCTTAATTAATTAATAAAATTTTTTTTTATGTTTTCCAGTTAATTCACTCACCTGGAGAAAACTATTGAAAAATTTTCCTGCTTGTCCAGCGAGTAAATTTCCTATTGAAAATTCTGACGGTTGTTCATCTTGAAAATTAGGAAAATCATCATCGACAGCTGGAGATCTCGTTTCCTGTAATTTTTTTTGTTGGGGTAAGTTATAAAATATTTTTTTTTTAACCCCCCCATGATTTACAAAAAAACCCCCCATTAAAAACAAAAAAATTACCTTTTTATTATCTGTTACGTCACTCGGTAATCCCAATGTTGCACTTACGATGATAAAAATTACTCCGGTTATGACAATTAAATTTTTCATTGAATTATTCATTTTTTTCTTTTAAAATATAATTTATTACTTATTTAAAACAAAAAAAATTACCTAAGAAAAAAAATAATAATAATGATAATTTTATTACGGTAACTGAGTGAAAACCTCCGCCCCCCTCAAAAAAAAAGAAAAAAAATTTTAAATATAAATTTACGTTACCTTAATAACGATTATTAAAATAAAATTAATAACAAACAAACAAACACAAATTTTGAACGAAAAATAGAAAAACAAAATTCACATTTCACCGTTTGTACGTGACTGAAAAAAAAAAAAAAAAAAAATTTGTTTGTTTGTTTTTGTTAAAAACAAACGCAACCGGTATCGTTGAAAATATAAACTCGAATAAAAGTGCAAACAACAAACGTAACAAATTGAAATTGCCAGACGTTACTTTCTGAACATTTTTAATGGAATCGGTCGTGCATTCACTCGTTGGTAAACCTAAAATTTCAATAATAATAATAATAGGAAATACGTCATAAATACTTTTTAAACCTTTCTTTTTTTCTTTTTTCTCTTTTTTCACCAGTTTGACGCCGATGATAATGATAATAATAAAAAAAAATGATTGTTCGAATTTTTTGTTTGTTTGTTTGTTCGATTGTCACGAATTATTTTTTTCTCTTTCTCTTACGTATTGTCGATTAATTATAAATGAACGTTTGTAGAAATTTCTAGAAAAAAAAATTTGAATTTGGGGTTGAGTTTTATTAAGGGTTGAATTATTTATTATTCATTTGTCGATTCAATTTTAATTAATGATGATGATGATTTACATATCAAAATTTTTTACACGTTTTTTTATTTTTTTTTTTATTTTTGTTCGTGTCATTAGAATTTCACCTGTGACCGTTTTTTTTGTTGTAAAAATTTCGTATTCCTTTTTAAAACGTTTGCGTGCGTGATAAGTGCGTATGTGTGTGCGTAGAATTAAAAATTAAAACGTTTTTTAATATTTATTTCACGTCGTAAACAAAATAACGCGCGAAAATTTTTGAAAAAATTTTTTCTTTCATCGGGTTCTTTCCATCTGGAGGGAGAGGCACTCGCGGGAGTACAGCCTCAAACCCCTCCTCAACCAGAACCATTAGGTCCAAACTCGCGAAAGGGGGAATCCCATCTAAGAGAGATCCCGATACTTCCCCTTTTTACCCTTCCACAGAGTCTGCGAGTTTCCAGAGGGACGGAATCCGCCATTTGTCCGCCTTTCACGTCGCAGCTCCGTATTTCCCCTTTCTTGGATCAAGTAACCAGTTTCACCCTCTCGAAAAAGGGTCGACGCATCCCCAATACCTCGAAAGGGTACCAGGTCACTTACCCCCTACCTAGGTACAGATTTGTTCTTGTTTGAACGCTCATTCCCAAGATTTAAACCCACGACTTTCAACTCGGTGACTTTTGGGCCGATTTTCCAGACTCGACCTGGTTACCTCGAGCTATTCCAAAGCATCCAAGTTGAAGATTTACTCCTATCGAACGCCCAGTCAACGTGGGAAATCCAATCCCAAACCCCCCCCCCTCATCAAACCTATTTACCTTTCACGAACTGAAATATCCCTAAAAGCGTAAAAAAAGGCACAAGACAGGCAAACAAGGTGAAAAAAATGGAAAGATTAAAATAATCAGGATGTGGGGAGTGAAAAACGGAAACGATTCCAATCATTCTAGTGCCACTGTAACCCATGTCGCAATCACAACCATGTAGTAATATCGATAATAATAATAATAATACAAAAAGTATAAATCAATGATATCCTTGACATTTCGAACTTAATAATAATAAAATAAATAAAATGTTATTCACCCCTTTTTTTAAAATAGTATATAATAAATTAATAATAGTTAATTAATTTCAATCACAATAAAATCACGTGATAATAACAAACAAACAAACACGTCACAACATAATTTTAACGCCAATTTTATCAAAATAAGTAAAACAACATTTTCCGAAAAAAAAAAAATTAACTTTCTTACGGATTATGTAATTTTCACAAATCTCGTTTTTTTTTTGGTTTATGGCGGTCGCGTAGGTTCGACCCTCAAGGTTTTTATAATAATTTTATTTATTAAAAATTTTTTCTAACGGTTTTTGACGTGGGTTTAGAATAATTGATAATGGGGTAAAAAAATAATGACAACAAAAGAAGAGGAGAAGGAAAAAAAATTTTTTTGTTATTGTTTACATAATAACAAGTGAACGATTTATTATAAATTATTTATTTTTCTATTATTATTATTATTATTATTATTATTATAAATATGACGTAGTAGTTTGATAAAACCTCCATTAAATTTCACCTGATAAAAATCATCATCGTTTCTCTTTCTTTTTTTTTCCCATTTCATTCTTTCAATTTTGTTGTAAATGTGTCGCGTAGTAGAAAAATTTTTAAGTGGTAAAAAATAATATAATGAACGACCGCAATTATTATTATTATTTTAATTCATTCATTCATCGAGTGAAAGAATAATAATAATTGATTGATTGGTTGGTAAAAGTGAATTATTTTCACTGTCACTTAAAAAAAAAAAAAAGCGTTTTCGATCGTTATATATGTAAAACGGAAGAAGAAAATGTCTGCCAATTTTTTTTTCACGGTTAAACACCTTTCGATCATTAAAAACGTGATGATGATGAGCGTAGTACGTGCAGGGAAATTTTTTCCCTTCCTTTCACTTTTCTTACCCTTTTCCCTCCACAGAGAAAAATGTTTGTCGAAATTCTTCTTCTTATTATTATTATTTTGGTTTTTTTTTTTTTTAAATTTCGCAATTTAGGGCTTTATTATTATTATTATTATTATTATTGTCGTAATAATTTCCCATTTTTGGTTTCTTTTGCGAAAATGAATTAATGAAAATTTGCATGAGTTTTGTTAACGAGTTTTTTTTTGCTAGTAAAGTTTAATTTCGTTTTCATTTTTTTTTTTACTTTCCCACACGTTTTTTGTACTTTTCTAGTGTTTTATAATTGTTTGTAAAGTTGTTTGTCCAAAAAAAGATTTTCCCTTTCTTTACAGAAGGGTGGGAAAAAAAAATAAATAAATAAAAATTTGGCGTTGTTTGTGATGCAATTTTAAGCAAGTGGGACAGTTTTTT